AACGTGTTAATGCACCAATCAGCTTTGTTCGGCGTCCTTTCTGATGTGGTTTATGTCCTGCTTCAAGTCTTCGTCCGGCACGCTGTTTGCTCGAACGTTGTATCATAATGACTTTGGACATGTTTTCTTTTCAGTGTACGCCTTTAGCTTCTGGATAGAATCTTCAGATTTTTCGATTTTCTTCTTCAAGGCTATGGTGCTGTTGTCATATCTTGTTCTTTTGCTGGTGACTTTGGGGCTGTACGTCTCTAAGGGGCGTTTGCGGGTTGGCGGTCATTGGCCACTCTCCAGCTCGTCTTCACTATACAACAGCTCTTCCTCGTTTATGGCGTTAATTTCATTTGCGAGTGCTAGCGACAATGAATTGCTCTAACATGCACGTGATATGTAAGTTGCAATTTCAAAACGCAAAAATAATTGCTTAGAGTGGGGACAGGAGAATTGCGTGTGTAAACGGGGTTTAAAACAAGAGAAGGAGTATAGGTGGGAAGATGAAATTTTTTAACAATTGATATACTTGAAAAAAATTTCTATAATGCTCTCTCGCTTTCCATTTTATATTGTGTGGAATCAGCAATAGAATCCTGCAATAACAAAATCTCTTTTTAAGATTAAGAACTAATGTATTTGAAAATATCAAGCAAAAAGTACGGATTTGCGTAACAAGACTGTTATAGCAAGACTTGGAAGGTGAGACTTTATCCCCTTCTAATACAATCGTTGGGAAATTATAAACTTAAGCTAAATACGTTACAAGTTTCCGTCTATTTTAAAAGTAAATTTTTAAAAAGNGGTGTAATACAGAGCCGGAATGGGTAATAGGTGATTGGAAGATTATGATTTGAAAACATTGAAATTTTTGGGAAAGATACATGATTTCAAAACGTAGAGAAAATGGAAGGACAAGGAGTTCGACCGTGTGATATATGCGATAAGGCCAAAAAGATGTTGTAAGTAACAGCCTGCGAACCAAGTAACTTACATATAAAAAAAACACAGATCTGAAAACAGTATATTGCTACAGATGATTAAAGAAAATTACAGGGCAAGGGTTTCGCTATTGGTACATAAATACGTGCGGAAAGAAAAAAAGTGACCAAAACTCAAAGTAAAGAACCAAAAAAAAAATAATAAGGTTAGAAGATGTAGCATACAAAATTACAAGCGCACAGTTTAGAGTACAACAGTAGAGACGTAGGAGCGTAGAAACGTAGATGCGTACATGCGTAGAAATGTAGAGGCGTAGAAACGTAGAGGCGTACAGGCGTAGAAACATAGAGGTGTAGAGGCGTAGAAGGGTATAAAATTTTAATAAACAGTAGATTACTGTAAAGAAGTAATTTAAAAGAAAAATGTAGACACAATAGCGGTAAG